GGCAAAGCAAAGAGTCTAGCTCAGTTACAGCAAAACAACAATTAGCTGGAGACAAGTGGCAGCTGTCCCCTTCAGCTGTGGGCTATGTGGTCACCAGGTTGCCTTGGACTCACCACACTCTCTATGAATGTATGGCTCCTGCCTGGCCACTGTTAGTGCTAGAGTTCCCAAGCTCAGGGAGATGAAACCCACAAGCTGAACAATCAACCTTTGCCTAGTTTGTGTTAGTTTCCTATTGCTGTTGTAATAAATTACCACAAATTTGATGGCTTAAAATAACATAAATTTATTATCTTATAGTTTCGCAGGTTAGAAGTCTGACATGGGTCTCACGGGGCTAAAATCAAGGTGTCAGCGGGGCTATGTTCCTTTCTGGATGCATGCATCCATTTTCTTGCCTTTTCCGGCTTCTAGAAGCTGCCTGCATTTCTCGGCCTGTGACTTCTTTCTGTATCCTCAAAGCCAGCAACGCAGCATCTCTCTCTGGCCCTCCTTCTGTTCTCACATCTCTTTCCCTGACTGTCCTTTTCTGCCTCCCTCTTCCACTTACGGGGTTCTTGAAATTGCACTGGGCCCACCCACATAATTGAGGATAGCCTCCCTCCTGTCGATTAGTGATTTTAATTCCTCTTTGCCATGTAGGGGACCACTGACTCTTCCAAGGATGAAGACATGGACATCTTTGAGAGGCCATCAATTCCTCCTATCACATCAATCAATCAATGTGTATTTCACAAATTATGAGAGAAAATGTAAAGCATGTGCTTTTTGCCTTATATGGACTCCTATAAAATTAGAAGTTATTTGTAAGGCAAATTAAAGTTGAAAGGTATTAAACGAAAGGAATCTCTGGCGAACTATTCTGTAAAGATATTAATTTCCTAACATCTTATCTTATGAATCCAGATTTTCACACATTTACTTAATGTGGGGCTAAGGCTTAAATGTGGGTAAACCCATTCATTCCTTCATGCATTTATTTATTTAATTTAGAGACAGCATCTTATTTTGTTGCCCAGGCTGGAGTGCAGTGGCGCGATCATAGCTCACTGCAGCCTCGAATTCCTGGGCTCCAGCGATCCTCCTGCCTTGGCCTCTCAAAGTGCTGGGATTACAGGTGTGAGCCCCCTGCCTGGCCCTATTTGAATATTTTGAGAATGTTTGGGAAGGGGAATGCAGTCAAAAACTATACAACCATTTTCTGATAATCCACACAGAAATGTAACCTTCACACGTACATTTCTGAACCTGATAACTCTGGTAGGAAATACATTGTAATAAAGCCTTGAGTCTCATTCAGCTGGTGAGCACTGACAGTATACTGGTTAAGAGCATAGGCTCTGACTACAGCCTACCTAGGTCCAAATCCTACCTCTGAAAACTTGGAGCTGTGTGACCTTTGGTTAATTACTGAATTTCTCTGAGCTACACTTTCCAAATCTATAAACTAAGAATAGTCAGCAGTACGTATTGCATAGGGCAGCCATGAGAATTAAACAAGATACAGAATATAAAACACCCAGTATGGTGCCTGGTACATATTAAGTCCTCAATAAATGGGTTCTCTTATTATCACCACTTGCTGAGGCCCATGCTTAGGTGCAAGCGATATACAGGAAGCATCCTACAACTTGGATTCATTATTTTCAGGGCTTGAAAATGAAAGTGAGAACAGGGCATGATCACCGAAGGGAAGGCAGCAGGCAAAATATTAAATTAAGATAAAATTTGAGTCTTCCCTTGGTAGGTACCCATGGTTTCTACTTGCAGCCTGTGTGGAAGATAGAATGACCTTCAATACTTAATGCAAGTGTGAATCATCCTCAGAAAACCACATGATTTTATATTGAATATCTGAAAGAACAGTTATATTTGGTATCAGAGCATAATTTGTTTTTCTGCTCAGAATCCTCATGTAACTTGTTTTCTTTTTGGATTTTAACGGCTCTTTACAGCCTCCCAAATAAGTGAACCTCATGCCCAAGGCGTACAAGGCTCTGCACAATTTTTCCTTTCTCGTAAAAAAAAAAAAAAAAAAGTATCTATTTATCTTTGAGATACACTCTCTATCTGCTGCCAGGCTGGAGTGCAGTGGTGCCATCTCGGCTCACTGCAACCTCTGTCTCCCAGGCTCAAGGGATTCTCCCACCTCAGTCTCCTGAGTAGCGGGGACTACAGGTGTGTGCTATCACGCCAGGCTAATTTTTGTATCTTTTGTAGAGACGGGGTTTCATCATGTTGCACAGGCTGGTCTCGAACTCCTGACCTCAAGCAATCCACCCACCTTGGCCTCCCAAAGGAGGAGGGACTACAGGTGTGAGCTACTGCACCCAGCCCAATGTTACTCTTTTCAACGTTTCAACTTTTATCTCACATAAACCCCTTATGCAAACTCACTATCCTGCCAAATTACAAAACTGTCTAAGTTAGGCTGTTCTGACTGCACTAAAGGATTGCTTTGTATACTAGTTAAAATAGTATATTTCTTGTCTAGTCCGGAGGCTGAGACCAGGGACCCCATCTTAGATATCTACATATTTCCCCACAGTGACTAATATGTAATAAGCACCTAATTAATGTTTGCTAAAGAAATGGATTACTTGTCCTTCCACTCATTAAGGTCATTTCTACATATGAAACTTTGATGCCCATTTTTCAAAGCTATTTGCCTCCTTCAACTGACAGCCTCCTTTTTAAACATCCTGATTCACCAGATAATCATTACATTATATGTCTTTAAAAAAGTTACACTTCTAAATTTATCCTGATGTTTTAGATTTTTTAAATTCCATACGTCTGTGAGAATCCTCTCCTTTTTTTTTTTTTTTTGCTAGGGCTCTTTGTAAAATAAATATTGTTTCCAGATAGGCTACTTAATGCCAATATCGTTAAAATGATGGAATAATATAATAACTACTTCCTACCTTCATGGTTACTGTGATGGTGCTATTTACATTTGCTTTATGCAACCAGCCTTGTTTTATCACACCACCCTTCTGAGAACATAAAGAAGATGAGTCCTGAAATAGAACAAAAATAATCAGTAAAACAACAGCCAGCCTGCCATCTAATTAGCCAAACATTTAGGGGCACAGAATGAGGCCCTGCCCGTTTCCTAATTAAAACCTAAAGTCCCCTCTTCCCC